TGACATTCAAAGAGAGGTCTCTTAGACACATGTATAACACAGTCGAGGTTGTTTTGTCAGAGGTGGTCAAGAAGCCTTTAGCCCCCCCCCCCCATTTGAAGTCGCCAGGAAATAGTAAATATATTGATGACTTAGCGAAATTAAACGATCAACAGTTATGTTCTCTCATAAATTGTATTCCTGAAACTATCACTGTCTCTGATAAAATTTTGAAGACATATTCTGCAAATATGGTTGAATGATAAATAAAAAAGAAAAGATTTTCAAAAAAAGAGAAAGAGGGTTCTTTTAGCCGAAATTTTAGACATTGTTATCATTACATTATTTATACATTCAAAAATAAATTTGATTTTATGCACAAGATGAATGTGAAAGTAATTAATGACGTATAATTAGATAGAATAGACAATCTCTTGTTTATACATGGCATCATATATCTGGTGTGTGAAATGTGTTTCCGTATAATTTGATTTATTTACAAATTGTTCTTGTTTTGTCATGTTTATGTGGAATTATTATAAATTCCCGAATTCTGATACTTTACAATTGTGTTGTGTTGGGAATGAACATTAGGAAGATGCATATACTTTCAACATAAGGTAGAGTATAAAGCAAATCGAACGCCTTTTTGTGTGCAGATCATGAAATGTACTGAGCTCCACGGGTATTTGTTGTCCCGAGCGCATTAATCTTGACGCCCAAATTCTTACTTGGCTAGTGATATCTTTAGAAAATATGTGTATCTAGATGAAAGTTAACTCGGCAACATGCGCCATCCCATTCTTTAAGTTTTATTAGGTGTTTACACCTCCAGTTTCCGATTTCGCGGATTCAACGATACCCTAATATCGAGTATTATACGCGATTTCACGGATAATACCCGATTTCGAGTATTCTCTCCGACCTGTTTAATGGTGTGTTCCCATTTCGCCTTAACAGTGAAATACAGGTAAGAAAAAGTTAAAAAGTACTAAGGCGAAATGGGAATTTCAGTATTTGAAAATATTATTACTAGGTTGACATAGAAATTAAAATGATAAACATTTTTAGATTGAATTTAACAATTAATGGAGATTTATGAATACTGTGCATGAAATTATATCTGTGATACCAAAAAAATACTTAATTATAAATATATTAAATCTTCATCACCTTCATTCACCTGAGAGCTTACTAAGGCGAAATGGGAATGCTAAATTTTACAGTTAAGGCGAGATGGGAACAAACCTGTTTAATACGTTTATTGCGAGAAAAAGAAAACACATGACACTAAAATTGTGCCACGCTGTTGTTAAATTTTGTCAATGATTATATCGGGAAATTGAATTTACTGATTGCATGCTTGATTTTGAGTGAATAGTTGTTCAATTCAATTTTTTTCGAGTCATGTAGGCATACGAAAATAATGACGTCGTACCAACGTAATATAACGTCGTGGTGAAAATTTAATACTTTTGATGAAAAATTGTAAAACTTTCAAGTTTTTTTGCGGGAAATTGAGCGAGAACACATAATATTCTTTTTTAATAGATCGATTCTAAAATTTCCTTCACATTTATTGTATCGAGTAATATAAAATTCGTCTGCTTCGTTTTATTTTAATGTTATGATTATGGTATTGAAATGTGTATACCAGCAGAAAATAGCCATTTTACTAAATATTTCCTTGAGAAAACGCTACCTATTCTCATCAACATTAGTGCGATTGAATAACGATTAAAATCTCTTGCGCGGATCTAGAGGGGGGGGGGGGGTCCTGACCCCCCTGGAATTTACACGGTTAAAAAATGTGTATACTAAGGCAAGAAAAAAGTCACCTTGGACCCCCCTGGAAAATGCTGATCCCGCTGGAGAACATGAATATGTGTGAAATGGGTATGAAAAGTTAAAGATTGGAGGCAATAGTAACAAAGACACCCCCCCCCCCCCCCCCCCCCCCCACCTCCTATTTTTTTTTCATTTTGGGCGTTTTTTTTTTTTTTTTTAATTTTTTTTTTTTTTTTTTTTTTTTTTTTTTGCTTGTCAAGAAATTTAAGGGATTGGAAGATTGGAATTTTTTTTGGACTGGATGGACCCCCCCCCCCCCCGCCCTGGAAAAAATTTCTGGATCCGCGCCTGAATCTAACCACGCAGACGAATCTCAAAAATTTTCAGAGAGAAAAATTTAAAACAAGAGGAGTTAGCGGACAAATTTTTAGCCTATGTTTTCAGGTAGACAGTTAACCTGCGATCTACTTTAACTGATATTTAATCAAAAATGTAAGCTTCTTTCCTTCGGTGAAAATATTTGATTAAAACATATGTATAACAGAGTATTTTTCGTAAAGTCAAGTGGGGTTCAATACGTTAACGCATTACTAACTTTGTTTGCGCTCATCATTGCAGTCGTGAAACGTCATTCTTATACGCCCGTCTTAAGACGGGACGTATTATGTTATAGGCTTCATGTCCGTCCGTCCGTCCGTCTGTCCGCCCGTCCGTCTGTCCGTCTGTCCATTCGTGTCCGGCTCATAACTTCAATACTATCAGGCCTAGGATTATCAAACTTTGTCAACTGATACTTCTTGGGTAGACGGTGTGTCGCGCACAAAAAATAGGTCGCTCTGACCTTTAATAAAGATGCTATGGCCAAATATGGATAGCAGAAAGTTGCATGTCAAATTAGAGAGAAATTAATGAGTTTAGTGTGAGGAAGGTAACTAGTAGAGCATTGGTGTTATCTATATCCCTTGAGTATTGGGCAAATGGACAGCCAGCCTAGCTGTTAGATTAAAAATAGCTCTTGTTGGCTAGCCTAAGTTTTAAAATGAATTTGATGAAAAGTAATAAAAACTTATTTGATATTGCATAATAAACTAATAATCTGATATATAATTTTAATTAATTAAAAACTAATTTTATGGGGTGGGGTTGAATCAGCATGCCTACTTGTCCATATGAATTAAATATAAAACCTGTCTGGCATTAAATCTAAGAAGAAATCATGGAGTATTTTATATGTTTTAAAAGTGATTTAGGATAAAAAGTGCAGATCCATTAATATTTAGGGAGTAATGAGTAGACAAGCATCCAGTCAAAGATTAATTAATGAGTTCAATGTAGGAAGGCTATCTGATCAAGCGCTGCCTTATCTGTATCCTTTGGGGATTAGACAGAAGAACTGCTGGTCAGTTTATAGCATATGTCATTTGATGGCCAGCCTTTCTTTTCAAAATTAATTTGGCATAGATTAAGTTGTTAAGACTAATTTGATATTGTTTACTATGATGGCCGGCATTTGACAAAGTCTAATACAAACAGTATAGAAATCTATCAGTTATGTAATATTTGTTATAATTATGCCTACAGCACAGGGGATGGATAAAGAAATATTTCTTTAAAAAATCATGGAAATCTTAGAATCAAGGTTGACATGATTTTCTTGCACCCTAAACTGTTAAAGATAATTGTGTATTTTTTTGACGGGCGTATCATGCTGTGGCGTGGCACTTTATACAAAGAATGACATCAATGCATGAATAAAGGAACAAATATTAAGGGTCCTCCATACACACACAGTTAATGTTTTCATCTTTCTTGAGCATTACTTTTAACAAGCACATCAATCTTTAAAAACTGTCTAGGGATGAAAATGTTATTTATACTGAATTTTTAAATAATTATTTTATTTCCAGAAATTTTTCCTAAGGCATTTTCATTCTCAGCACAACAAATTTTGTTTAACCTTTGCTACCTAAAAGTAACAGATTTTAATCCCACATAGAATTTATTCTTAGACTTCAATCCGTGTTTGTTTACATGATAATTGTCATATTACTGTTTGCCAAATAAATCCTAAATTAGATTAAAGTTAACAAACATGTTTGTTCTTAATATATTTTGATCTTGATGGATTATTTTTTTATCTTGACGATTTTCATATATTCAAATAGCGACCAATAGTTATTTATTGCCATAGATACTCAGAATAATATATAGGAAATAACAAGAAAACATTGATATAACCAGCAATTGTCGCCCGGGAAATAAATAACGTAAACAATGAAAATAAGTGTTGATCATCAAACCGCTTTGATTTTTGTGGATGGAGACGATATAGTGGCGAATATTTTGAAAACTCATAGTCAAATCAAACAAAAAAGATTCCATTTTAAACTTGATCATTTCCTCAAGTAAATGTTGGCTGCATAAAATATAAATTGAAGTTAGACAAATGCATCACTTATATTCAAAAATGTAACTTAATATTCAATTTTCGAATATAAAACACGAACTGTGCAGAGTACGTTTTTATACGAGAAGTAAATATATTATGCATCTCCTAGATTATAAAGTAAAGAACACTCTGATTAATAATCTTTTCAATGTTTAGAAAACCTTTAATTCTGAATAACTACTCCCGCCCCAATCCCTATACACCAACACTTAAACTTATAGGTATAGAGCAGCCCGGTCCTCCGGGCTGCAATTAAACACCTTGCAATGGTCTTGGAAAACAGAAGGCACCCAAAATATGATACGGAAGATTAAGTTTTTTTTAGCTTTTGCATTTACTTTAAAATTATTATTATAGCAAAAATTATTGCTAAATAATTATTGCGATTAAACGCAATAAAAAATTTTTCTCTCTCTGAACTGGCCTCAATGGGCTTCCGTATCCAACAGTTTTGAAAATTAAGTAAATGCAAAAGCTAAAAAAATTAATCTTCCGTATCATATTTAACGCAAAAATTATTGCAATTAAACGCAAAAATTATTGCAATTAAACGCAAAAATATTATTGCGTTTAAACGCATTAATTATTGCGTAAAATCGCAATATTATTTCGTTTAATCGCAAAAGATTGCGTTTAATGGTTTAAAGTAGTGAGTTATCGTTCCTAACATAGTGGCGCTACATGTCCCGGTCCTTGTGATACCTCCGCTTCGTAGTAAACACACGTGAAACAATAAGGATAAGAGTACATAAGTAAGTAATAAGTTGAATTAGAACACACAACAATGCCCAGTAGTTGCTGCTGTGTACCTGGATGTCATGAAAGAGGCGGGCATCAGTTCCCGACCGAAAAATCTAGGAGAGACAAGTGGATTATAGCAATTAAACGCTTGGACGAACATACGAGAAAGCTATGGGAGCCTTCCAAGTCTGCCTTTGTATGCAAAGGACATTTTAAACCTGACGATTACGTGACAGAAACAATACAAGGTATTGTGAATCAACATTGTTTTGATCACTATCGAATGTTGTAGCAAATGAAAAGATAATATTCTTGCAAACTGTGTCAGCTGTGTATAGCCGATTTGTATTTTAATTAATACAACCCACTTTTTTTTTCATGTTCTTTAACTTGCATTAAAAATTTTCATTGAAGCACACATATGTGAAAACGAATAAAAATAGCGTTTTCAGTATGAATAGATATACACTACATTCTTTATCAACAGGACAGAAACCATTACATGGAAGATTAAAGAGCTCTTCAGTCCCTAGTATTTTCTGCTGGACAAAGTCATCGGCGGCATCAACTTCAAGATTTTCTCGAGTAGAAGGCCGGGTGCAGAAAAAGAGAAAATTTGAGGAAGCTTGTCATGATGACCTTGAGGACAGCATTAATGAATCAAATGTAGATTTGTTGAAGAGATTGTGTCAGCTTATGAGTCAACAAGCAATGATACTAACATTACATCATGTAGTCCAGAATTTAGAGAAATGCAGACACAAACACAATCACAACCATTATTTTCAGTAGATCATTTTGAAAAAGATGATGCTGCCATTCACTTTTATACAGGTCTAGAAACATATAGTAAATTTATGTATGTACTTCATTCACTTGGACCTGCTGCATATTGTCTTAATTATATTTTTTTTCGAGTGCAAGGAGTGTCGATTCCAGATCAATTTTTTATGACTTTAATGAAATTAAGAAGGTACACTACAAACTTTGAACTTTCTAGATTTTTCAATGTATCTGAGAGTACTGTAAAAAATATTGTTTATACTTGGATTATATTCATGTCAAAGCAATGGCAAGAGGTGTCCATATGGCCGCCTCAATCCCTTGTCAGATATTTTTCACCTTCAGATTTTAAAGCTAAATTTCCTAAGACTAGAGCAATTTTAGATGCAACTGAGTTTCCTATTAAAAAACCAAGTTCACCGAGAGCACAACAAGCCACATTTTCAACCTATAAAAACAGAAACACGATGAAAGCTTTGATAGGTTGTACACCAGGGGGTCTCATAAGTTTTATTAGTCCAGCATATAGTGGTTCAACCAGTGACAGACAAATTGTAGAAAGAAGTAGTTTGAAAAATCTGTGTGATCAAGGTGATAGTTTAATGGCTGACAAAGGTTTTAATGTACAAGATATATTTGCTACAAAAGATATTACAATAAATATTCCTACTTTTTTTAAAAACAGAAATAGAATGTCAGGTTCTACAGTTTTGCGTGACAGAAAAGTTTCGAGCAAAAGGGTTCATATTGAAAGGATTATTGGTTTAGGAAAAACGTATCAAATTTTAACACATCCTCTTAAAAGTACTGAGGCATGTTTATCATCAGATATAGTATTCGTTTGTTACATGTTGTGCAATTTTCGTACTGGAATTATTCCAGCAGATGATTGATTGTTTTATGTAAATTAAGTGTATTTTAAATGCAGTTAAGTTCAATTAAAATACCACTTGACTATTGTGAACCCCTTTTGTCATTACTTCATATTACTGTATATTAAGGACAGAGATATTTTCAAAGTTTTTGAACAGTCATATCTCTTAAACTTTAAATCATGTAAACATTACCAAGTCATAATGCATGTACATTTGAGATTAACTATTTCACAAGATCAGTTGACTGTATGGAATGTGTAAGAACTTTTTCTACATGTACCTTTTTTTTTTAACTGAAATTCAATGTCATGTCAGATTTTCACTCATTGTCGTTGTAGGACTTGTAGTAATATTTTTCAAGTACTGCATCCTTGAAGAAATTGGTGTAAAACTTTTCTAATTTGTCTAGCATTTCATGTATGAATGTATCATCCCGTTTGATTTGAATATATACAATGTCATTTACAGTTAAATTATTTGCTAAACAAACAATCAGAATACAAGATTTTGCACCAGTACAAAGAAGTTGTCCTTGTATTTGATAAAAATAATCATGATTATTATCAAGAAAGTATTTCCCTTCCTGGTTTGTTTTCAAATATGGCACTGTAGTCGGTGAAATTTTCTTGTTTCTAGAAACATATGGACATTTCACCTCTACGAGTTCCTCTTCATTAATGATTCCATCTGGTGATGCAGCTAAAAATGGATAATCTTTACAAATTATTAGGCCACTTGCCTGCACATCTTTATGGTGATCATTTTTAAACTTCTTTATGGCAACTGATTCATGTTTGTGGCCGTGTTCAATGGCATTTGATTTTATATTTTTCGTAACTGTGAGAGATTGAGCAAGTTTTCTTTTGTCAGTTCTCTCTGTGCATTTGCATATCCGCCCAAACATTGATGAAATTAAACGCTTCGTTCTCTCTGCTTTCATTATTTTTGCCCTGCCCCATTGTTTGATGTTTGATCTTCTCAATTTGAGAATTTGATATATGAGAAATGAATGATGTTTGAAGGAAATGGTCTTCAGGTGTCAGTTTTAGGTAGTCATGGTCATGTGCCACTGCCATCATATTGGCAGGGGTAAATGTTTGGAATATTGGGACTTTAGAAATTCCAGGGAAATTGAGCCATACATTTTGGAAGTGATCAGGATATGCTGGGTTATTTTGAAATTTTTCTGGTCTTGGGTCAAAGTTGACAGTTGTAAATTCATCAGCACCAGGTAGATGTAGATCTGTTGATTTCATTGGGCTACCTTTAAATCTTTTACATTTATGAAAGGTCTGTAAACGCTGTGTGCAAGTTTCTTCTGTCTTGATGAACTTCTGTTTTGCAAACATTACCGCCCCATACATGACAGCTCCAACATGTTTACAGTGTGCATTAGGCCCCATGCCTGCAGCACACTCACACTGAGCTTCCGATATTGACCCCTCCTCAGTTATTTTGAGATCAACTGTATACGACACACCTTTTCTCATTTCGGCACGACACTTGCCTTTGATGTATGTGAAGGGCTTAATATCAATGGAGATACGGTAACACATTAAGAAATTATCATTGTACAGTTGAATAAAATGATTATCAAACTTCTTTTCAAATAGTTCAAAATAGGCTTGAACCGTTTCCATAGTCAAACCACGGAATGGGGAATCAGAATTGACGTCCGAGTATGTATCGTAATCAGGTAATATCATGTAAAAATCTGGGTCAAGCTTCTCAACTCTTCCAAAGTCGGCATTTCTATCGTATGCGTCAAGTCTGTTAAAAATACAAATACTCGGTTTTTATCATGTTTTTAATAGTTTAATTTTGCAAATATTTGCGGCATTACTTGATTTACCAATTACAGAAATTACACATGTTAGAGTTGGACATGTAGCATGCGGTTTTCAGTATCGAATTACCTGTCGACCAGTTCTGCTTTCCGACCCGATATTCTTGCATTTCGTTTATTTAGTTCGTTTTTAAGCTCAATTATACTCAAGGAACCGTATTTTGAGTTATTCATGATAATTTTCAACTGTACACACGTAACAAAATACAACAACGAACGATAGTAATCTCGCATCCAATGTAAACAAGATGCTATGGACCGGGAATAGTATCGCCGCCTAGCGGGAGGCAGGGGAACGCAACTCACTACTATCTCCCATTGCAATCTTTTGCGATTAAACGCAAAGTTTTTTGTGTTTAAACGCAATTATTATTGCGATTAAACGCAAAGTTTTGCGTTTAAACGCAAAAATTATTTAAGGAATGACTCTAATTCTTGGTCAAATTATTCGATGATATCCTGGTTTGGGTCAGTTTACGCTATATAATCCGCGAAGCGGATTATAAAAAAGCGTAAACTGACCCAATCCAGGTTATCATCGAATAATTTGGCCAAGAATTAGAGTCATTCCTTATAATTAAATTTTAAAATAATTAAACAACTGTGGGTGTAAAATTGTGTTGCTTTCTATGAGTTCAAATTTGCCGCTCAATAATACATCCCTAGTAACGGAAGTGATATGAAACAAGGGGAGGTAATATCTGATATACAGATCTAGCAGCCATGATGTTTGTGTACACGAGACATGCGAGGTAAGATCGAGCTACTGTTTGAAGTTAAAGGTACATTTATTAAATCTGGAATTTCCCATGAATTTCAATGACGGGAAATGGGGGGATTGTATGGATACAGATGATCCAGCTGCTGTCAAGGGGGTGTGTCCCCATACCAAACCAGGTTATTATGTTTTATTCTGTGTTCCTTTTTGGATATCAACCACTGAGAGATTAGAATAAAAACAAAATTAAATTATTGCGATTTAACGCAATGTTTTGCGTTTAAACGAAATAATTATTGCGATTAAACGCAATAAAAAATATTTGTTTCTCTGAATTGGCCTCAACGGGCTTTCGTTGTTGGAGATATAAAGAATAAATTATTTAGTTTTCTCCACACAGAATTTTACATATCTATTAATACCGCCTATCTTTTTAATCCCTCCAATTTACTTTCAACTTACTCTCCTTTTATCTCGTTTCAACATTTTTTTTTTTTCACAATAAAGATGAAAATGCTTTACTCGTTTCTCGGAAATTATAATGCATGATTATATTA